AAAGAAATCCTCCCATCTTGGGCTCTCAAAGTGCCGGCATTGTAGGTGTGAGCCACCACGTCCGGCCAGAATTGTTTCTCTCTCCCTCTCTGTGGGGCCCTCCCTGCTCCACCCGTCCTGCAGCAGTTGCTGAGGCTTGTTTGCATCCTGTCCCTATTGCATCCCCACCCTGCCACACATGCCTTCTCCGCCCCTCAGTTTTGCTTCCACAGCCCCTGCAGGGATCAGGCAGCCAAGCCTCGGTCCCCACACACCACAGGAAGTAAAGCTGTACCTGTGTCCCGTTCTCCCCAGGCCACGGCAGAGACAGCGCGTGTACCCCAAGTGCACATGGCTGACCACCCCTAAGAGCACCTGGCCCCGGTACAGCAAACCAGGTGAGGGTCTGCAGAGGCTGCTGGGGGTGGGTCTGGGCACTGGCCCGCGTTGGGCACTGGGGGTCATCAGTGCCCCTTGAGCCGAGCCTCTCGCTCCAGAAGCACCGGTGCACACTGTGTGACTGTTTGTTGCCACACTGAGGGCTTGAGTGCTGGAGGCCTGGCCCAGGACCTCGACACAGAGCCTCCCAGGCACCGTCTTTGTGTGACTGTCTTTTCCTGCAGGTTCTTCCTACCGTTCTGCCATCGACCTTTCTCTTATGGAAGCAATCGAGTTCATTTTAAACTGCAGTATTTTGTATATTATTGCAAACTAATAAGTGCACGTGATTTTAAGATAAATTGCAGCAGTGAAGACAGGCACGGAGTGTTGGGTGCTTGGTGGTGTGTGCGGGGAAGCGTCAAGAGGCCCTCAGGGGCCAGGGCAGGGATGACCTGTGGGAAGGGAGCGGTGCGGTGCCCTTGGCGATTGGCTTGGCTGCCGCTGTCAGTGCTGCCGCGGCTCCCGTGCCTGCCTCTCCTGCGCCTGTGTCTGGGGGGGTGCCAGAGATTGCCTATGTACATTCTGTAAGGACGCATCTGAGAGCGAGGCCTGTGCTGCCCAAAGGTGAACGCTGCTGCTCACGGCCCCTTCCCTTCCTAGCAGGAACCCCTGAGCACTGCAGACAGGGGCTCCATGGCCATGTGTTCCGGCAGGACTCAGGCCTTGGGCAGGGCCACCAAGAAGGTATCACTGCAGGGGACCTATTCCATGAGGTCCTGGGAGGCTGAGCTTTTCAGGTTTATCAGAAGAAACTGGGCCCCGTGCACCCAGTCAGACAGGAGGAGCAGAGGGAGAGGGTGGCCACACACTACAAAGCTCTGTGGCTTCCGAGGCCTGGTGCTGTGGCCGGCTATGCCACCGCACCGCACCCCACCCTTCCACGGCCACCCTGGACATTCACCTCAGTCAGACTTGGTCTGGGGACAGTGCTTGGCCTGGTCAGATCTGGTGACCTGTGAACTGTGTGTGTCCTTGTCCCTGACATTCCCTCCAGGCCAGTGGGGCTTGAGCTATATCTGAGTTCTGGGGGGAAACACGTCTTGATAGGAAACTAAAGCAGACAGGACGCCGTCTCCTGGTGTGGACCACACGGCGGGTGTTCTGGGAGGGTGCCCGGACCTGGGTGATATGCATGAGTACACACTCAGGTCAAGTTTGTTGATATCACAGGGGCCTCGTCAAGAACATGAGGGTGAAGGCTGTGCTTGGAGCTGCCCACGTGCCTGCTCCCGGCACACCCTCCCTGAGCACTCTCCCCTCCCAGGTCTGTCCATGCGGCTGCTGGAATCGAGAAAAGGCCTCTCCTTCTTTGCGTTTGAGCACAGTGAGGAGTACCAGCAGGCTCAGCACAAGTTCCTGGTGGCCGTGGAGTCTATGGAGCCGAACAACATCGTGGTGCGTGGTCCTCGCAGCCCCCGACAGGAGCAGGGGCCATGTAGCCACCACTGCCCTCACAATCCCCGGGCAGCCCATCCACCTGTCAGTGATGGAGTCCTCTCTTTACAAACCCCCAGGCTTGGTGCCCCAGGGTCGCGAGACCCTGACCAACCCCGTCTTCAGAACCACAGGGAGCCCGTCCTCACCCTCTCTGGCCACCCTCACCCCGTCCACGCTGCCTCAAGGCTGTGGTCAGGGGCAGGATGCTTCTGAGAGCTCAGCGTCGTCTCCCCTGTGGGAAAAGCTGCTGCTTTCCATTCCTCTTTCTTGGGGCGTGGTGGGGAGTTAGGTGGCCCTGGCCTGGGCATGTCAGGTTTGAATTCTTGCTTTAAGTCGTATCATTGGTTCAGCTTAGCAATAATAACTAGCCTGTTTTGAGTTGGGGGATGTTGTGAGTGTCGACCCTGGTAATTCCCGTTTGTTTTTGGAGTCGGAGGCTCACTCTCTTGCCTAAGCTAGAGTGCATTGGCGCAGTCTCGGCCCGGGTTCAAGCAGTTCTCCTGCCTCAGCCTCCCAAGTAACCGGGATTACAGGCACACGCCACCACACCCGGCTAATTTTTGTATTTTTATTAGAGACCAGATTTTGCCACGTTGCCCAGGCTGGTCTCGAACTCCAGATCTCAAGTGATCCTGCTGCCTCGCCCTCCTGAAGTGCTGGGATTACAGGCGTGATCCACTGTGCCCGGCCTCCCCTGGTTTTAAATACCTGAAAGAAAGGCGTGCCTGGTAGCTGGGGCCTTGCTGGGTGTCTGTCCCCAAGAGGGCTGCGTGTGCCTTTCCTCCAGGGCTGTCCTCCCTTCTGGTAGGTTCTGCTCCAGACGAGCCCTTATCACGTTGACTCGCTCCTGCAGCTCAGCGACGCCTGCCGCTTTCAAGAGGATCAGGAGATGGCTCGAGATCTCGTAGGTAAGGCAGAGCCCCCACCCGTTCCCGTCAGCTGTGGGAGCACCTCAGGCCATCAAGACAGATGCGGTGGTGTAAGATGACGGGGGTTGCCAGGATATCCATGACAGCTTTATTGAGACACAACCCACATAGCACAGAACTTACCCATTGAAAGCTTTTGTTTGTTGTTGGTGTTTAATATACGCCTCAGCCTCCCGAG